CGCCGATCCCCGGCCCCCCGCGCCGCCGCCCGCCCCCAGCCAGTAAGCCCCCCGTGCTCCCTCTCTCTCTTTAGGGTTTCGATTCTAGGGACGGGGATTGGTTGGGGGTCGTCGATTTGGGCATTGCTTACCGGAGGCCGCGACTGCGCCTGCTGGATTTGGACTCAGATTTTGACTTCCTGATGTCGTGGGTGGGTGGGCACCGAGTAGAACTGTGTAGATGCGCTAGAGCTCGAGCTACCTGGTACCAAATCACCACGCCACAGCAGCGAACAATCTAGCAGCACGAGTCAGGGCTGTGACTAGTTTGTATGTGCTGACGGATGTTTTATCTGAAAGGAGAGTAGGCACGCTCATGCTCCGTTCAGTCAATTGCTCCTTACTGGTGGGGATCTTGCAGCTTCAGAACCCAGAGGAGCGTCCTGTTACGTTATAGAAAATTGCAACTCTGCTGAATTATTGATATGTGAAACCAGAAATTGTTTCCGTGAAGTGTTGCTTCCTGTTATGATGATTCCCTGCCTGATATGCAGGAAAACCTGCATATTCTTTGCTGGTGTTTCAGGGGGAAAATATTTCATGGAGCGCTCATGGATGATGATTATAAAGAGAATTTCCTTCTTAAATTTCAAGAAATTGAATTGATAGCCTTACAGTTTCGTTAGATATTGAGCAGCCTTGAACTAAATGTTCTAATAGGTGATCTAAAAAAAAAGTGCTAATAGGTAGCAGCCATAGATGAATTTGGTTGTGCTTCCCACACAATTGAAGGGCTTTTCTTACAACTTAGTATAATTGAAATTCTCAACCAATGAATCATTGAACACATGCCTTTTGCGCTCATCTTGTTGTAGTGCCTGAACTTTAGTCGACAGAGGTCATGGTTTTAGTGTTTGACAAGCTGCAGTTGCTTATTCACAGTTGTGCCATGTGAGAATCATGTGCGGGACGTTTCTGTGTATGTACAGTTTTTGTCCTTTTTTGAATGTGTATGCACAGTTTGCTAATTATAACCTTTCAGGATTCATTTAGGCAGGCTGTTTGGCTTAACTTTCCTCTTAATTCTTTTCATCTATGCCATTACATACCCGTACTTGACTCACAAAAAGTCTCAGCAACTATCTACACATTCCATGTGGTGAAACCGAATTTGTTTTCAGCTGATGTCCATTTCAAGTGTATTTGTATCTCCTTGCTGTATATCATATTAATTGACTCGGATATATTTCATTGGCCTTTCTTTGTAGGTTCTGCCATGCTATCTAAGTTCTTAAGCTGGTATTGTGTGTTGTTTTGTCCAGGAATGTCTCCCTGCCCACACCATCATTTGACCTACCAGACATTGCAGATCTTTTTGATTCCCCCTCTCTCCCCAACAGAGGTTCTGCTGGCATGGTGGGAAGTTCATCAAGGAAAAGAGAATCAAATGGATCTGCTATTCAAGATCCACGTAGTAAATTTCCGAGGGCCCAGTCAGCACAATCTCGTGGTACCAGGAATGCTGCTGCGAGCACATTAGTTCCACCGCAGCTTAGTGGAAGGTTAGCCCTGTTTTCATCTACTTAAAACGACGTTGTGACCTACGATCCTTGTTTCAAGTGAACTAAAAGCTAGTGTTTTGCCAATTATGCTGAGAAAACTTCTTCCAGGTCATCTATTTCAGCATTTGATGCCCCTGAATAATATTTGCCCTTTTGGTTGTGACAGGAGTAACGTTGTTACCGAAGATATGGGCAAATTGTTTGTGGCAAGACGCAAAGATTAGCTCGAAGTACCACTTCATTAAGCTCTATCTGAATCCAAGTGACACCTCATGGACAGACGGGCATGATTGAGGGATGATCGTAACTCAAGAGGCTGGACATGCTCTTTTCTGTGACATCTATTTGATCCCTGTTTCTTTGGTGTTCACCTGCAACAGCAGTACGTGCTCTGTTGTACCTTGTACCTCTCTTTAGGACAATCGGATATCATTCTACAGTACTCTGCAAGGAGAACCTAGATGTCTTCTTTATCATTTGGTTAGTAGTGAGTGGATGGATTATCGAGAGAATGTAGCTTACATTTGAAAAATATAGATGTATGGTTCCTATGATTCATCTCTGCTGAATGGTATTAAACGCTTATAACGGCCAGGTCTGATACATTGTGTAATACTACTACAAATCCCAAAATCTTTCAACCACATTATTCCAATGACACATAATAGTGCTCCAGAAATTTACCATCTAGAACTTGCAGAACATATCGATGACTACGAACAAGCAAAAACCTAGAGCGAAGGATTGACGACTTGGCCGGCGAACACTACAACGCCGGTGAGCTCCTCCTTGATCAAGAACATGAAGGGGTGGTCGGCGACGAAGTCCACGTAGTCGACCGGCCTGCTCCAGCCCCCCGAACAACTACCGAAGATACCAACGATGGCTGTCGCCGCGGCCGCTTCGGTCCCTTCTTCGTTCACCTCCACGAAGGACTCGTGATAGACTTGGGACACGACCAGCGGCGGCGACATGGGTTGCAGCAACTCCGACAAGTCGGCGGCGGTGCTGAACGTCAGGCGCAGCCCGAGGCTCTGCAGCATCCCGCTCGCCTCCGTCTTGTACGATATGGTGAACTTTGGCACCTTGAATGCGCCCACGGCCACGGTGCTCCGCAGCGCCATGGAGTCCGCCTCGAGCTGCTCCGGGCTGGAGGCCAGCCTGTGCAGCATGGGCGGCAGCCCGTGGCGTTCGTTCGGGAGGTAGATGTGCATGGCGAACCGCCGCCGGTGCTCGCCGCTGCCGCACGCGTAGAGGAGTTTCAGGACCTTGTAGTCCGGGCGGCAGGCGATGTACTGCCGCTCGCCGCTAGACATGAACGGCACGCGGACTTGGCCCTCAACGCCGGCGGGCTGCAGGTAGAAGAAGGTGTCGTGCCGCGTGAGCCGGGCGTCGAACGTGCTCTCCCAGACGCCCTTGAAGTAGAGTGCGTTCCCGAGGATGGCCGCCGTGTCGTACCCCACGGAGCCCTGAGGCAGGAACTCCTTGATCCGGCCCGCCGTCGCCGACTCGAACCACTCGTTGATCTCGCGCCTCGCTTCCTCCGGCTGGAAAAAAGATCGATCAAGAAACTCAGACGAGCTCATAAGGTGAGTCTAGAGGTCAGATAGAAGGTGAGTTACCATGGTTTTGAAGGCGTAGTGCTGGGCGACGACGCGGGCGTAGTCGGCCTTGAGGGGCGCCGCCGTGGCGTCGACCCAGACGGCGTTGGCGAACTGCACCTTCGGCCCACCGTCGCCGCCGCTGCTGTCGGCGAACACGTGCATGGCGACGTGCGACGCGAGCAGCGCGTGGGCGCGGCCGCCGGCGGGGCCGAGGAGGGCGACGATCTCGTCGAGTGTGGCGCCGCGGGCGCCCGCGCCGAGGAGCGCCAGCGCGGCGTGGATGGAGAGCGGGGACACGGCGAGGTTCTTGCCGCCGGCGCCGGGCTCGGCCGCGAGGTGCTGCAGCACGCGCATCCCGAAGGCGGCCTCGCACCGGACGGCCTCCGCGAGCTCCATGGTGGGTTTGTTTGTCGTCGGTGGCGGCGTGGGGTTTGGGTTTTGTAGGGAGGGTGGCGCGTGTGTTTTGACGCAGAGATTGCGCCGCGTCGCGTTCATTTTGGTCCATGTCACGCTAGGCAAGCTACTTTTATTGTCGTACCCGCTGCTTAATGGAAAGAAGAGAAAAGGAACTACGATTTGTTGCAGTTACAAACTTACAATTTACAACAAAGGTCTTCTTGCTGTGGCGAAGAAAATCACAAGGCGAAGATGTTTTCGCAACAAGGGTTCTATTGCGATTGCAACAGGGTTCTTGTTGCAATGGCGTTGGCGGCCGCAAGCCGGAGATGTTTCCGCAACAAGGGTTCTGTTGGAATTGCGGCTCTTGTTGCAATGAGGGAATAGAGAGAATAAGAACACACAGTAAGATCGCATGGTGATCATCATTGACCGGACTGCTCATAACCCGGATGGTCTTTTCAAAAGATGAGCCTACTGTAGCATGCCCTACAAAAAAATGTTTGCGTTTGCTACTCATTAGTCACAAGATTTTTTTTCTGCCGTTAGTAGATTTTGAGAAAGGGCCGAAGACTGGTCCACTGTGAGGATTGCGTCAGGGTGGCGGGTGTGCTGGACAAGGCGCAACCCGTTTATGTCATGCTCGCGTGCTTTTTCTTTTCAACATGTTTAGTCCTCAAATGTTGAGATGAATCGAAATACCTTAATGTTGAGATTTTCTTTTCTACTAGACTTTATGTGTATGGATTCCATAGATGGATAGCAAATGCTCTCACCAACCTGCCCTGTTCCAAGCGTGGCCTGGCCTGCCCATTATAAAAGACGCATTTCGCCTGTTCTGTTTTTCACGTAGCTCATAAGTATGTTAGTACTAATAGCCAACCCACGGATAGAGAGAGGGAGGAATGCAAATTGTGATGTGGCGAATGGTGTGAATGGGATGCATGTGGAAACAAATCATCTCCTAGAGTAAAGACCAACGTAAAAACTTTGGAGGGCTCGGATGAGGAACGGAGGCAGATCCTTGACGATCCTGGATGACTAGCTGATCGTTTTTGTGCTTTTCTGTTCGTTTTGGCCATTGATGGCCTGTAATGTTAGTCTTGGGGCTTAGCACCAAGAGCGGGAGGATGGATCGAGGCTCTGCCGGCTTTCGATATGTTGAGGGCGGGTAGCAGTCAAACTGGTTGTGAACATTTTGTTTCGGTTATGCAATGCAATGAACAGGGCATCATGGCTCCTATTTTCCTACAGTATAGTAGCATTGTGAACTAGATTTAGGAACATCTCTATTTTGCTGGTTTTTCAGGCGGTAAGGTAGCACAATATTGAGGATAGCAGTAGAAGTGGGATCAACCTATTAGCAGAACAAGACAAAATACATACATAACTTTAGAAGAAAATGAGGGGGTCGATATTCCTCTCTTACTCCTAAAAAACATGTAAGGGTTCATGGAAATTCACAATGAAAACTTAGGGCTTGACAATGACAATAAAAGTAAAGGAGAATAGTGTAAGGTTTCACCTGTGTAGGCCACCACATTGATGACCAAAATCATTATCTCGGCAACCACATTTGGAGTTAAATGGAAAAAAAATAACGACCTAAGAGGATAATAAAATACTGTGCAATGGCTACAAAGAACAAATGTAACTGCACACTATTCTATCGCAGCAATCAAATTTTAAGTTCTTTAGGAAGTTCATAGAAGCTTTTGAATTATATATCGCCGTTTTCAAAAGAAAAATAATATATCACCCATTAATTCACATCACACACAAATATTTAAAAGCATATATCATGATAAATCAATTACTAACAACGATGTACATTCATGAAGTTCAAGCTTCAAAATATTTTATTGGTAAAAATTATATACTATGTCCATTTAGGATTAGAGGTAGCACTTTATTAATTGTCCATAAAAAATGTTTCCCACACGCGGATAATTTCCACTCAAAAGATCTATCACAAAATCATTTTTTTCACTCATAGAAAAACAATAACAAAACAAGATTAGAATACCTCATCCTATATACCTAAAAGACTCATTACCACTATCTTATTTATCTCGACATGCACCCCTCCACATCATCGAATTGGACCCACGTGTCAAAACCTTTTCACGATGACATCACTATTTAGTACACGGCATTCAACTTTATGTTCCACCTCCCTGCTCAATTTCCTTCGTTGTATTATCTGGGCTAAACAAATGGACCTCAAGTGCCAGCCCATAGCCTTCCTACGCTGGTGCATGTAACCAAATTTTCCACGCATCTTTTCATCTTGTTGGTCTAAAACTATTCATCTGCTCTGCTAGTCGCCTTTGTTGGCCTCCCCCTGTCCCTCACCATACCACCACAGACGCAGAAAACTAAAAGTGAAGTTGATAATACGGAAGAAACTAATGGTGTAACCGATGAGTCATCTGCACTTTTTATACTACGCATCGCCCCTCATGGGGTCTCCATATATTGGACTCCCGCTTTTTCTTTTGGAGGAGGAGGATTGCCAAAAAAAAACTGGACTCCTGCTTACAAACTCACATGCCTTCTCCCCTCCACATTCACAACCACATCAAAGAAAAGCCACTAAAAATCCCACCTTCCTCTTGGTGTTCTCCTCGCCGGTGTGGTGCATGTGTGGTCAAGGCGACGGCTGTCGTGGCCTGCTCCTCCTTTCCCTTCTCAGTCTTCGTTCCAACGAAGGGAGCTCCACGTGTCGCTGGGGAGGTTATCTCCGGTCGGTTCACCGGAATCAGAGTAGTGACTGAGGTCTGGAGCTACCATCCTTTCCGGTCTAGGAAGACGCTCTCACCAGCCAGCATAGCCCAAAATTCTTCTGGACATGAGCTGTGGTGGAAATTGTTTACATAACCTAACCCCCAACAATAACAAGACTCTGAAATCGATTGACAAATCCACCACCCACTGGCCTTATTTGATTGTGTGCACTACACCCATGCAAGACTCTAAAGTTTGCCAAATTATCATGAACTTGCATACTTGAGTTCTGCCAGCGGCAACTCCATGAGGAACTTGAAGGTGACGGTAAGTCGACCATCACCTTCTCCGAGAAGCTCCCACCCTCCCCTTCAATGAGCCCCTCCACTGTGTCATTATTCTCCCTCTTTCCCTCCATCTTGTTCTTCATTCCACTATTTTCTTCTCTCATTCTCCCTCTTTACTATCGCCCCTGAGTTAATTCCAAGTAAGTACTACCACATTTGTGGTCAGGTATTGCGTTTATTTGCAGAAAACACTAATCGGCCGATTTGCCCCGTATGATCACATTTTTAAAAGGTGCTGACCTATCACATGTTGACTATTTCTTCTTCCTTCTCCTCTCTATTATTATTGCCTGATGACTGGCTGATCTTTTTCCCGTTTTTCTGTTCTTTTTGGCCATTGTGGGCTTGTAATGATGGTCTTGTCAAGTAACAGCTACTCTGATCGTGAAAATGTTCTTCCTTGGATGCAATGGAATAGGGCAGCGTAGCTCCAATTTTCCTACAGTATAGTATACTCATATACCATTAAAATCCATTCATATCAACTTGATGTTCATGTATGAAGTTCAAACCAAGAATTATTTTACTAGCAAAATTAGTAGAACTATGTTCATTTAGGATTAGAGGTAGCACTTTACTAGTTGTCCGCAAAAAGTATTTTCAACACACTGACCAGTTCCCCCCAAAAGAGATTTCACGAAATCAAAATTTTAACTCAAAAGAATAATCAAGATAAGATAATTTACTTAGTTACTATGGTCATGTCAGCATCTATATCTATTCTGTATACCTATATCTTTACCTAATAATAAAAGGTTATTGCTTCTGGCGGACCTCACCGAAATTGCCCTCAGAGTTGTAAAATATTACCCACCAATGCCATTTATAAGTGATAAAAAACGTTTCACACACCTGGGCTGGCCTATACAATAGAAACCTTCTATATTGCGCTCTGCGTGCCGGGACAAGACACATCACGCCTATTTGGGCCGACCCATGTCTGGGTGGCTTTTTTTAAATCGTATTTTATTTTTCGTTTTCCTTTTTCGTCTTTGCTTTTTGTACTGTAAATAATTTGGGACTTCAAAAGAGTTCCAAAAATTAAAAAAAATGAGGATTTTGAAATGAAATCATAAATATTTCTGTATTCAGAAAATAGTAAGGAGTCTGCTGAGGGGCCTCCTCCGGCTGAGTCTGCTGAGGCGGCGTCCAGTTTGGAAGCAGATGTTTTTCTTTCCGCGTGTGCGCGGCAATCGGCAGGGCCGAGGAGGGTGACGATCTCATCGAGCGTGGCGTCGCGGTGCCTGCGCCGAGGAGCGCCAGCGCGGCGTGGATGGAGAGCGGGGACAGTGCGAGGTTTTTGCCGCCGGCGCCGGGCTCGGCCGCGAGGTGCTGGAGCAAGCGCATCCTGAAGGCGGTCTCGGACCGGACGGCCTCCGTGAGCTCCGTGGTGGGTTTGTCGTCATCGGTGGCAGCATCTGGTTTGGGTTTTGTAGCGAGGGTGGCACGTGTGTTGGATACAGCGCAGAGATTGCGCCAGGTCGCGTTCATATGACACTTCTGATCCTCTGTTTAGTCCATTGTACGTACCATAACTTGGCTGTAGTTTATTTTGGTCCATGTCACGTTAGGCAAGCTACTTTTACTATCGCGAACCAACCTTTGGTTGGATGGTTAGAGGACGAGGTTCCTACGGTGACTTCGTAAATTTTCAAGATATATGCCGGCTCAGTCTTTTAGAGGTGCTCATAGGGGTAGGATGTGCGTGTGTGCGTGTAGGGGTGAGTGTATGCGTGTGTATATGAGCGGTTGAGTCTGTACTGTGTTAAAAGAAAGCTACTTTTACTGTCATACCCGCTGCTTAATGGAAAGAAGTAGGATTTGAAGGAACTATTTACAACAAAAGGTCTTCTTGCAGTGGTAACAAAAATCACGAGATGGAGATGTTTTTGCAACAAGGATTCTATTACAATGGCGTTGACAGCC